GAGGACGAGGACCAACCACCAGCTAAGAAGAGGAAATGATGTAGCTATGACCATTTATTTTATTTCGAGAAGATGTAATAGGTGGAGGGAGGTTTACTTGGCCACCCTATTCATGAACTGCTTTTTTCATTTGACAGATTTATATGTTCTTTTTTGTGCAATGAATTGGGATTCTTAATTTTTATCTACACTATGTTTTTTATGTGAGATTTGAGCTTTACGTAGATGATGGCCATTTTACTTGGAATTAATTCAGATTGCAGGGAAAACAGCCCTTTTACCAACATTAATACCAATATGCGGTTTTAGTTTTATATACACTACTGGATCATGTTCTTGTATACGAAAAATAGAGATCGATTCATAAGTTTTCTTGTGCACGTTACAATCTGAGCCAGAATTGTCACAACGGTGACGTTAAAAATATTGAAGGGACAAAATATTTGTATATTAAATTTTTTTTTAGCGTCTAAAGAAGATCGTGTCGAAATCTGCATCTACAAGTTCAATGTTCAATAAGATTTTTGACCCGCCGGCCAAGAGTTATGAGGATGGTAAATCATCGATCCAAACTTGCAGGAAATGATAAAAGGCTTTTCAAAAATTTGAAGACAAATCAAAGTGAAAGACAGGTAGACAACTATTATTGTCCTTCAAAGATTCATTTCACAAATATTCCTTGACCTCGCTGCTTCCATTATTGTTGGGACAAACACGTCTGACATAGGGTATGGTGAAGTGTTAAAACAGACTCCAGTACAATCAAGAACACTTGGTTAGGTATTACAATGGTGTGAAAACCGGCCCTCAAAAGAATTATTCCATGTTATAATTTTAAGTTAAATTTATAGTCATTTTCAAAAAATTATTGAGATGAAAGAAATTATATATTTTTAAGAGAGACTATAAACAACTCCACTTAAGTTAAAACTTGCTATTGCTTCCAACTTTTATTTCGCTTTCAGGGATATCATCAACTATATTATCTCTTAACCTCTAATTAACAATAAAAATACAACATTATATGAAAGAGAAATGTTATTCATACTCACTCACTGCGTTAGTCGCTCTACGTGACATTTTACATGGTAATTTGTGATTTGATACATTAATGTGATAATTTTTATTACATCATGTATCAAATTACTAAAATAGTGAGTAATTACAAATAACATTATTCTATATGAAATTGTACCTAAGTATAACAATCTCAAACGAGTTATTATCTTGTGGGCAGGGACGGATCCAGACAGTTCGAACTGTGGGGTTAAAAATGAAATTTTTTTCGAACAACGTATCATTAACGAAAATAAGACCGTATGCTACTGCAATAGAATTTGGGTTTGGACTTTTTGGGCATTAGACTAGAGAAATTAATTAGGTTGGCTCACTACTTTGATAGAAAATTATGTTTTAAGTAAGTGGAAAAAAAAAATTCAAAAAACTGTGAGGTCATTTGACCCCATGTGGGCCTGCCAGTGCTTGTGGGGCACATTTTCCATTACATGTACATACTCTTGGATGACTATTAGTTCCATTTACTTATAATTTAAATTGTTTATAAACACTTTTTCAAAATATTTCGTTCTCTAATATGACAAGTTGGTGGGATCGTGAGTCACGACATGTCTGCATTGACATGTCCATGGCCAAAGGGACTATATCTCGAGCCCAATTCGATCCGTTTAAGACTTTAAGTCACATGCACACTTTATTCGGTTCTTATACCGAGCCAAGATTGAGCAAAAGTTGAACTTTATAAAACGAGTCACTAGATCAACGGACGATCCTAAATCTGAACATAGTCACCCCTCGCTTTATAACCGATCAAATAGCATAACATAGAGAAAGCATTTTTCTTCCTTTTTTATTTTTTATAAAGATACATGCATTGGACAAACCTGCTAGACCCCACAGCCGAAACCCAACAGTAGACTATACTTATCTTTGAATTAAGTTCATTGTACAAATGAAATGTACAGAAAGCATTGTAGATGATGAGGTGATAACAATGCATTGAATAGTTTAACTTTGTGTTTCGTCCAACATTCAATGAAATCTTGACGGCTAGCAACCTGTCAAATATTTCTCTACAGGTAGCATATCTGCTTATCTGTTTCCTCTAGTTACTTGTATGATCTTTTACACATTTGCTTAAGCAAAAGCTCATCTAAAGACTAAAATGATCCACCTCCAGGAAACAAACTTGACATTATAATTTATTATTCAGTAACAATGCATTGAATAGTTTAACTTTGTGTTTCGTCCAACATTCAATGAAATCTTGACGGCTAGCAACCTGTCAAATATTTCTCTACAGGTAGCATATCTGCTTATCTGTTTCCTCTAGTTACTTGTATGATCTTTTACACATTTGCTTAAGCAAAAGCTCATCTAAAGACTAAAATGATCCACCTCCAGGAAACAAACTTGACATTATAATTTATTATTCAGGATTGCATTCCAAAATCCAACACACCAAATCTAGATTCCATTTCCTAGCGTCTTTGTCAATGTTTGTTTTTAATAAATGGTGATGTTGTAACTAATATTATTATCTCAAATAAGCCGTTTGTAACTCATTAAACGTCCTTTTATCTTTGTCCTTTTACCATTCTTTCATCCAAATATATAATTTGTATCATAAATGATTATGGGCATGTATTAAAATAGAGATCTTGAGTATTTCTGCAAGTATTTGAGATAGGTTCTTTGGTATTTCACATGGGGTGGTGTTATGTGGTTTGTTTGTTATGTTGCAGCTTCATTTTTGCGTATGCAGAGGATTTGAAGGATGCTAATGAAAGTGTAAATAATACTGTATTTATTGATGGGAAGAGTTCCATTGGGGAGACAGACGGTGATTTTATATGTGCCACAATAGACTGGTGGCCGCCTGAGAAGTGTGATTATGGGACTTGTAGCTGGGACTATTCTTCTATGCTTAATTTGGTATATTTATCTCATACATTTGCTTTCTTCTTCTATGTTTTATGTTTGCGAGCATGAATGGTGCAGAAATGTTAGCTTAGAGATGGAAACGCTCACCTTCACATCAAACCCTTAAACGTGCACAATTTTATTGAATGGGTGATGGCGAGAGAAAAAACCGACCTTTGCATACTATGTTGAACAACTCGATCTAAAAGTTAGATAAGGTCATGTGTATATCATTTAAATCTTGTTTATGATAAATTTATACTGATTGCCTTGAAGTTCGTGAGTCATGAATGTCTTCAGGATTTCGATTTAGCTGTTGGAAGATACTATGTTTTCATTCTTGGTGGTTACTGATTCATTCTAATGCTTATGGTTGTTTTTCGCCCGTACAATGGTTTTAAATTCCATGACTTCGGGAATTTCTATAACATGCTAAATACTTGTCCTTTTATGTTGATGATTCCTTCTTGGAATGTTTGATTTGTTAACGTCAATTTAATAGAATAGATACTTCATGAAATTTGTTTGATCTTCTTGTGTCCAGGATCTTAACAATATAATTTTCCTAAATGCAATAAAAGGTAAGGATTGTATCACCTATTTCTACATAAAAAGTAGCCGTTTCAACTTCACAAGATTTTTTTATTTTTATTTTTATTTTTTTTAAATACTGTGTAGCTTTTTCGAGGCTGAAGATCAGATTGGGTGGCACTTTGCAAGATAAAGTCATCTATCAAACTGAAGATCACTTGCAACCCTGCATTCCATTTGCTCAAAACATGTCTGAGTTGTTTAATTTCACCAAGGGATGCCTTCCCTTGTCCAGATGGGATGAACTGAATTCCTTCTTTAATAAATCTGGGTAAAAGCTTATCTATTTTTAAATTTGGAAATGCAAATAGATGATGCAGAAATTGGAACTGAATTACCTTGTATGAATTCAATCCAGGGCTTTAGTTGTTTTTGGACTAAATGCACTGAATGGAAGATCCATACGGTCGGATAATTCTACTGTGGGAGCTTGGAATTCTAGCAATGCTGTTTCTCTTATTCGTTACACTGTCAAAAAGGGCTATAACATTTATGGTTGGGAACTAGGTAAGAATTCTTCTTTTCTAATGTCAATGCAGATTGCTTCTTTCATGCATGTCACCACGTATGGAAAATTGTATGAAAACAATGATAAAAATCTCAATATGACCGTTTAAGTCACTGCGAAATCGCAGAACTGTCAGATGCTAAAAAAATTGTTGATTGCCATTTTCTTTCCAGGGAATGAATTGAGTGGAAATGGAGTCGGGGTACATGTTGCAGCAGATCAATATGCATCTGACACGATTGTATTGCACGATCTAATACAAGACATTTACAAAGGAGTTGATGTCAAACCGAGAATCATAGCACCAGGAGGATTCTATGAACCGAGCTGGTTCAGACGATACATAGGTAAAACAGAGGGATCAGTAAATGTGATCACTCATCACATATATAATCTTGGCCCAGGTATTTCAACTAGCAAACTAGGATGATCTGGTTTTAGTCACCAGATGATCGATTATACATGAATATAAATATTCTTTTCTTATTTGTAGGAGTCGATGAGCACCTTATTGAAAAGATTCTTGATCCATCTTATCTTGACGGTGAGGCTGATGTATTCAGGGGGCTCAAGAACATCCTCAGAAGTTCTGCAACTTCAGCAGTTGCATGGGTTGGTGAGTCGGGAGGGGCTTACAACAGTGGCCGCAATCATGTTACAAATGCATTTGTGTTCAGTTTCTGGTAATCCCAATGCTACATTCACAGCGCAACTTTTCCGAGTTCAGTTCTTATACCTGAAGGATATTCTCTGTTCTGTTGGCACTAAATTAAAGGTATCTGGATCAACTCGGGATGTCATCAGCTTTTGATACAAAAACATATTGCAGACAAACTCTAATTGGTGGCAACTATGGTTTACTTAGTACCACGACCTTTGTTCCAAATCCAGATTACTACAGGTTCATTGAAATTCAATTGTTTATTAGTTATATTTTCGTTTTACCTTGATTCTCTCTTTATACGGCACATAATACTGCTTTTCTTACTGTAGTGCTCTTCTTTGGCACCGATTAATGGGGAGGTCTGTTCTGTCGACAATTTTTTCTGGGACAAAGAAGATCCGTGCTTATGCTCATTGCGCAAAGCAATCTGTAAGTTAATCGAACCTATTCAGTAGATAAAAAATTGAATTTCATTGTATGTCGAAGTGACCTATTTGGGACTTTTATCTCGCAGCAAGGTATCACTTTATTGCTAATAAATCTAGATGGAAACAATACTGTGGAGGCAAAAGTCAACTTCAATGGAACTCTGGTGGACCGACATGAAGATAGACATCATAGACATAGATCGAAAGTGAGTAAGATGCATCAGGCAAATGAAGCTCGTGGAACAAGAGAAGAATACCACCTGACGGCTATGGATGGAAACATACAGAGCCAGACTATGCTTCTCAATGGGAAGGCTTTAATCACGGATTCATCTGGGGCTATACCGCTTTTGGAACCTATTACAGTAACTTCTTCTGAACCTATAAGAGTTGCTTCTTTCTCTATTGCATTTGTTCATATGCCGTATGTTGCTCTCCCTGCTTGCAAGTAGGTGGGAGAAAACGAGCATTTTAGGTGGTTCCTTGTATTTTTTTCAACCCATTTTTGTAAGCGCACACATTTTTATGAAGATCACATGTAAAAAAGAATGGATATCTGTTTCTAGAGGGTGACTTGATCACAGTTTTAAAGATCACTATAAAAAAAATACATAAATCTCCTTTAACTACCTTAGGGATTAATGGATGGCATTTGTTGAATCACACACAGGAAAGTTACACGATAGGGGATCACACTAACATTTTTAGATTACAACAGAAAATTGTGTGATGCAAGGAAATTTCAGACTGATCATCCTTGTATATAGGATGCCTCCTCTTCAGGCTGGCGGTCGACTCTTTTGGTGTAGGCACGATGCCTTCTTTCACGGACATATACTACCCAAAAGATCAAGGAAAACATTAGAGCAGCAGAGGAAGTAATGAAACCAACATACACCCATTTCGTATACTTCCTCAATCCGGGACAATTGTTCTCACTAATATCTGTAAATGTCTCTGTAAGAAAAGTGGAGTCTATCAACTCCACAACAAATGGCATCCCTGTATACAAACCATAGCTTACATTTACTGAGCTCGTCAGTTGTGTATAACGGTCTGGGGTCAGTCGTCCAGTCGTGATACATATATCGGATGAGGAAACATCACAAATATACTTCTTCCATACCTGTGATGCATTGGTGAAGTTTACTTCGCCAGGTTCACATTTCCGATCTGTAAAATCAGGATTATACGGATTGCAGTAAGTTGGCATCAATATTCCCGATTGGTTAAAATATAACGGTTTGGCCTCGAGTGGAAGGTTGTTGGCATTGGAGACATTCGTTATGGCGTAGTTAACGACGCTAAGGAGTGAGAAGGTGACTCCTTTGGTAACTTTGGAAATGTCTTGAGCAGTAGTGTTATCTACTCTAGGAATGATCTCCTCCAACGCAGAATTTGCGTTCGGGTTTTGATGCCACTCATCCATCGCTACACATGTATCTGCAACAACACTGCCAAATAGAAACAACCAAAATCACCTCGAGCCCGAACTTAAATGAAATTTCCCTTCCTCGTAGACCTTCAAACAACATTGTGCCCCGGTAGTAAATGGACATCACTAAGACTAGTGACATCACGTAAGAAAGTAAAATAGTAAGACTAGCAATGCGGGAGAGAAGGACTAGTTGTGTTCTATTTGGCCCTGGAGGGAATCGAGATTGGTTTAGGACTAGGTTGGCATGACTTTTGAAAAGTCAAAAGATGCTTGTGGAGCTCTAGAAATGCTTTGTCCAATTAAAAGAGCTTTTAGAGGAAGCAGCCCAATGTGACTTTTTCGTGAAGTTCTTATACTAGAAGCACAAGCTATACAAAACAGGTCCTTAGTTCCTTTCTAGGGGTGAGGAAGTGAAACAGAACTAAATGTTGATAGACTTACTTATGAACAAGGAGAAACATGCCACTAATTATAAATGTTCCAGCCACCAGAATCCATCCTGCGATCACTAAGCTGCAGGAAATCAAGCATATTACATTATACTCAAAAATCTTTTTGAATGTATGTTCGACTGCTAGCAAAAACAACATTGTTGTGCTGCATACATACCAGTAAACAACCCATTTCTTTCCAAGAATGGAGAACACTGCACAACAAACAACCGTGACAAATCAATTAATCCCTCTATGCTTAACACGATGGTAAATATGAACAATAATTTGTAAGAGAAAAAATGATTTATGCTCTAGTCTATAACTAACAGAAACTTACAGAATCCCAGAAATGCCAAAACAAGAACTGCAGCAGCTACATATATAACAGCAAGCCTCCTGCCAAGGGATCGAAAAATTTGTGGAATAAGTATGTATGTTTGACACTCCGAACATTAGGTAGATTTTGATTACGTAGTTAAGTAGATGTAGGTTATTACAAGGGGTCGAGAAAATTGCGTATGTCATGTGAGTTCTTTCCTGTAACATTGTGAAAAGTATCAGCAAGTTGATTGATGGTTATTGCCATGGTATCAATTTCACCTTTGATTTCATCTGGTAATGTAATCTGCCCCACACCAACACTCTTCGCTGCCTCCAGATTACTGAGTAAGTTCTGTAGATTTACTACCACTGTGTCGGCCTGATGCAGGATGTAGCTCAGTATGTTAACTATACTATTCTGGAACTTGGCTTGCCCCGCGTACAAAAAACCTACTCCAGTTCTGTAAATAGAGATATGAAGTAGTCTCATATGAACTGATTAATGTTCTAACAAACTTACACATATGCAGCAAAGAATGGATTAAGACTTTAAGTTATTACATTGTCGCGGAAGTGAAGAGAAGGAGGAGAATAAGAGAGACAGCATAGGCTGCACGAGAATAGCCATAAGGTTTACGCCTGCAACAGCAATGGCGAAAACAGAGACACAACATGAACACTCCAAAGAAAACCAGCCAAATAACAGCAGCGATAATTGGCCCAACAGCTGAATAAGCTACTGACTGCAACAAAAACGGACGCTAATAAACGACATTATTGAGAAAATTCACTAGTCATGTATTTAATCCGAGAAATTATTCAAACCATCATACTGAATCCCACTTCACTAGCTAAAGGTTTGCCTCGTGGGTTTATAAACATTCGATGCACCATACGCCCTTGCAAGTCAGCTTTAACGGTGATTTCAATCCAAAGTGGTTGTTACAATTCATATCAGTACAAACACCCCTTCTTGGGGTACCCTCATTGTGGACGGGGCGAACTTGGAAGGGCTACATTCACTAAAAGATCGGTTCTGTGGAATGAATCCGCAGGGAAAAATGGCTGCGGTGGGCATCGATTTCAAAGAGGGATAGTTCGCGAGAGACTTCTATGCCAGCCGGGAATAATGGCTCCGTTATGAAAGAAAGCAGGATATTTGCCTGGTGGGTTCAAGCATTTCAGGCACCCGTCCATAACAACTCACAAGCCGGTTTTAAGGTGTTGACACATAAAAATTCAGCCCAGATCGAACAGCCCAGAGAGTAAAGCCCAATTGGAGGATCCCCAAATCAGATCGCCCAAAAAACGAAATCCAATTGAACGAATCAAGGTGAATGCCCAAATAAGGGGCCCAATAGTGCGGTAACGCCATCGCCCAAGTTTGCAAGTCGCTCAGAATCTGAACGAATAGAGTGGCATACGGTCACCCAGAGTCTCGCCCAAATCTTCAAGTCGCCCAAGGTATCAACAAACATAACGCATTATGATCATCAAGAAATGCAGTTATTGAGGCAGTTGCTAAAGTAACCTTATCACGTTCCACGACTCAAGGGGTTCAATCGAAAGCGGTTGAACGATGCAAGATAATGGCAGTAGTTAAAATGACAGTTTCATGACAAAATGGCCACTACAAAGAAAGTGGGTAGTTATAGGGCGATCAAGCAGTTTTTTAGAGCAGTTAATCACAAAGGGATCGCCTATGAAGTATAAAAGGGAGAAAGAACTTAGAAGCAAAGGACCGAATCCAAAACTCTCGAACAGAGAATATGTAATTTTCATTCCTTTAGCTTTTAGACTTAAACACTTCCTTTTCTGTAACTCGTGTGCTTGCGCCCCTTGGAGGCACGTTGTTTTCCGTTTCCAATTGTAAAGTTCATCGCCAATAAAAAGAACACCCCTTTTTGGGACTTTGTCTCAAGAGATTTCGTCCCTTACACAATCGTCTGATCCTCTTTAATTGTTA